TTGAAACGGCTTACGAAATACAACTTTCCTTTGAGTCAACCCTTGATTTCAGAAAGTCTTCAAACATCTGCTTTTGAGAGAGAGAGAGAGAGGGTGTGTGTTAGGGAGAAGAGTGGGAAAATGGTTCCCATTCAGTAGCCTGGGGCCCACTGAATTGGAAAATTTCCCCCAAAAGGAAACGTTACAGGAACTCTTCTTTTGCAGACTTTGGAGCAGACTCCTTTCTGTTTTTGGAAAAGCTGTGTGACAAATCCATCATGTTCTCATCCCCAGTGAGAAGGCCTGTTCGGACCTTTACCACTGCAGAGGGAGTTTATTAGCCCGTTTCCCATCAGCTGGATGAGCTGGTTCCTCTGTGGGGGGATGCGGTCCCATGGAGTTGGTGAAGCCATATTTACCATCCCTGAAAGAGGGAGCCTGGAGGGTGGCCCTAATGAGTTAATGACAATGTTCAAGTTTATTTAACTTTTGCAATCATGCCATTTGCAGATACACAGCATTTATTATGAGAATATACTGAGTCCATTATGGGGTGAAGATGATAATCAGGATATTCATTCATTTATTTAATATGTAATTACTGATTACTTGCTCCGTATATAGCACTGTTCTGAACAGTGAGGAATTTAGATGTACCAGGGAACTTGCCCATAAGAAGCGTATAGCGCAGAAGAGAAGACAGACAAGTAAAGTGACAACTGTAATCCAGTGTGATAAGTGCCATCACAGAGTGAGTAAAGGACCTAGGCGGGCGGGAGTGAAGAAAAGGCTTGTTGGAGAGGGTTAAACCTGAACAGAATTTTGAATACGATTTGGAGTTATGGAGGAGAGGGCAGCAGGAGAGAGGCAGAAGGGTCTGTCCTTACCAGAGTGTTGAGGGGAGAAACAGCATGTTGAATTTTAGGAATGTTAGTGGAGGGACAGTGGGGGGACAGAGGGAGTGATAGGGGTTGGGCTGACGAGACAGGCAAGGGTGGTAGATTCTCGTTCTGGACCTTGAGAGCCATGTGAAAGATTCTGAATTTTACTCCTATAGGTAGGTGAAGAGAGGCCATTCCAGGGTGTCCGCAGAGCAGAAACCAGGATAGATTAATGCTTTAGAAATATCATCCTGGCTGCGGTGTGAGGCTGAGTTAAGAAGAAGGCAAATTGGAGTCAGACCAGTGAGAGGTTGTCATGGTCATTTAAGCAAGAGGTGACATTAGTTTGTACTAAGGTGGGAGCTGTGGGGATGGAGGGAAGTAAAAAGATTTTAATGACATTAAAGACATGTTTGCCAGGGTTTGGCAATTGATTAGATGTGGGGATTGAGGTAGAAAGAAGCAGCCTTCTGGATGGGGGGCCCCATGGATGGAGAGGTCACTCGCCGAAATGAAATTAAGGGAAGAATGACGGTGACCACCATTTTGACCTGGGAGTTCCAGCTCAGGAAGAGAGGCAAGAGTGGCAAAAGGCCTCCCCGGGCATAGCATGACACAGTGCCCATGTTTCATTCATCTATAGACCTGGCCTGTGAGCACATACACCTAGAACCCACTTACTTGAGATGGAGCCAAGGGGAAGCCAAATTCACGTCTAGAGGCATTCTCCCTGCTGGTTTGGTGTATGTTTATTCTCACAGTCCCTAACAGTGAGATAGTGATCATGATACTTACAGAGAGATGGTACTGCTTGGATTTGTAAATAGTCTAATTCTTGTTGCTATATGATTTGTTGCTATATGCTATAAGGCAAGTTCCTTAACCCATCTATGACTCAGTGTCCTCATTAATAAGCAGGGAATCATAGTTCCTTCTTGACAAATTTGTTGTAGAGAAAAAAAAATGCGTAGACCCATACGTAAGGGAATAGTCACCTGATAAATATTGATCAGACATGAATAATTCTTACCTTATTCTTAGTTTATTTTCTCTTTTCCCCAGTATAAAACTTCCTGGATGCATCGTATGGATTCAAAGTCCTGCTCTTTTTGAGGAAAAAAAGGGCTGAGAAGCCAACTAAGGGTTTTTGTTTGTTTGTTTTTGTTTTTGTTTTTGCTTTCTCTTCTCTTCCCTTCCCTTCCCTTCCTTTCCTTTCCCTTTTCGAGAATCTGTTTGGATCCAGTGCTGGGGTAGATATTTTTCATATCTTCTAACCCATGGCCACCCAAAATTATGATCCTAAAATTTTGATCTAGTCACGGGGAAGCCCTTGCTCAAAGGAACAAGCTTAAACGTCAAATGCCTCAGCGAGGCTTTCGAGGCTCGTTATGACCTATACATA